TTTTTTTTTAAATCGTCAAATCCCTCAAAAAAACTGTCCGAGAAGAAATGAAGGATATGCCTCTGCGAACAATTTATTCACAAAATACCCTTATTGTGGACGCATCGAGCTTCGGTGCAAAGTACAGTAATACTTCTTCGCCCTTGATCGGTGTTACACTTATTACCCCGTCTCTGCGGTTTTTTATGTGGTAATCGAAGAAGCCTTTGTAAAACTGAAAAAAGGAGCAGTTGTCGACAGACACATTTCGAATTTGCTGATTTTCATTTCCGCCGACAGAGGAATTCTAGATGCACTGTTGCGATAGGGATAGCTGAACGAACAACGGGAGGCATGCAGCTCAGACGAGAGATACTCCAAGCATGCAGATGCATCTAGCATTGTAGCCCTACACAGACTGTCTAGAGGATCTGGGCAACCGTGATATACCCGGTTCATTTTCATGCACACTGCGTTTACATTCCTCCCCATCGCGAAAACTGCGCAGACTCATGGCCTGCGGCAAAACCAAAATCGATTTGGATAAGAAACACTAGTGCTAAAAAACCTAATAAATCTAAACAAAAAATTAAAAGCCTCATCCGTATTCGCTACGAAAAGTGCGGACACAGGAAATAGCCCGAGTGGTCGCAAATGCCAACTGGCACAGCAAGAGGGGGAACGCAAGCCGTATTGAACATACCACTGTTGTGTTGACGGTGACGTCTTTGCAAGGCACTGATTTTGTTTTTTGGATTGAAAGATCAACACCGATTACCTTAGGAGGATATCATTTGTCATTGTGCCGATTGTTTTTCGCAGGCCTTTGATCATTTTTATGCGTTTTTGCGTACATGCAAATTGCAAAAACGCGTATTGGCAAGAGGCTGTGTGCGTGTGTTTGTGTCTGTGTGTTCGCACTTTCTGTCACCCACTTTCAATTTGAGAACTAGAAAAGCTTGAAGGCTATAACTTTGGCAGTATGTGCCCATACCATGCTCGACCCTCCCCTCCCAATATCATCGTTCGCCTACACCTGAGTGTCGCGTACGAAAGTCTTAAAAAATATACAAATTTTTGGACAGGAAAACGATTTCAGGGACCAGAAATAGGTGAGGGGCTGAAACTTTCTAGGGATATCCCCTGTGCATATATGAGTTAAAGATTTTTTAAATTCAGCCTCCAGATATGCGTGGTACTCACGCTCGAACGCATAAAAAATTTGGCGTGAAAATCGCCAACTCAATAATAGAAAAGCTAGAAGGCTGAAATTTTAAGGGGATGTCCCCTGTCCATGTGCAATTTAAAATTTCAAATTCAGCTCCCCAGGTACTTGGGATACCCACGTATGGGCATATGAAAGTTTCAGCGAGAAAATTACTCAGGAATCAGAAAAGCAAGAGAGATGGAATTTTAGGAGGATGTTCCCTGTTCAAATATAACTTAAATGCTTCAGATTTAGCCTCCAGTTATGCGTGGTTCTCATGTACGGATACTTTAAAGTTTGGGTCGGAAAACTGCTCACTGAATAGCTAGGTTTCTTTCAAAGAACGATCGTTAAATGGAAATTGCTCCTTAACTTTATGCAAAATTTGTGGTGATTTACGCTACAGAGCGCAAAAGGTAGGGTTTAAAGCAACACTATTCGTGCAGTTAATAACCTGAGTACTTCAAGTCTTGTGCAAAAACGCACCGGCTAGCTTGGTGCGTTTCGACCTGGGTTATTTTTTTGATGCTAACTGAAAGTGTGCCGTTGACCTGAGAGGGGAGTAGTTTGACTTTGTTCATGCGTGTGCCATGGCTGGACTTCTTCCAGAATGAAGGGGAGGGGTACTCGCCGACTTGATGTTGTTGCATTCTTCCCGGCCAACTGTGTTGGACGGTCAGCTCACCTGGCTTATCTCCTCTGTATTCCACCAACATGAGCTGCTTCGCTTGTTTCACCACGGTCAGCACATATCTCATCATTACTCTTCGAGCTACGGACTGGAGCGCGCTATGACTACGCGTCGCGCTTGCTTCAAGCGTCATTCTTGGGATCTTCTGTCATCCTGGACGGTAACGACAAGTGGGGATGAAGTTCACCAGTTCCTTTGCCGCTAGCTGGCTGAGCCACTGTAAGAATTTGTCTCCAGTTAACTGGAAGAGAAAGCTTACCTGAAATCGCAGATGATTATTTGTGACCACCCGGACAAAACCAATTTCGGGATGATACACGTGAAACAGCGGAGTCCCAGCTCCCACTACAATATTGTCCGTTTCGCCACATTTCACCTTGTGATTAAAAATACTCCAGATGTCGGGCATCTGGTATTCGATGCCGAAAGCGACTGGGAGCACAACACTCAGAATCACAAATCGATTCATATTTGGTTGCGTGCGTGTTGGAAATCCCTTTTAAAGGGCGAAAAAGTGGTTGTAGGCAAAAGGAGGATCCAAAAATCTGCATACTGATGA